TGTCTCTTGCTGTCTGGCGACCGCAAATCTCCCCAAAAAAAAAAAAAAAAAAAGAGGCATTGGGGCTTTAAGTATATAATATTGTCAGTTAGGCTTGTTTTTATGGTTCCCACAACAATCTGTCTGTCTCAAAAATTGTCATTAGTATTTGTCTTATGACACAAATATTTAATTTTTTTGTTACATGAAAAATATTTAAATAGAACAAATGTTAATTGACTATTTGCTGAAATTTTTATAAAAATATATATTCAGTACTATTTGGAGGAAAGCATTCAGTTATGGGAAGAATCAATTCTTCAGGAGAGCACAATTTGTATAGAGTTAGGAATTTCTTTGGTGAATGTCATGAAGAGATAAAAAGAGATGGCATTCATCAAAAGTCCCGCAAACTGCAGTCATTAGTGGTAGTACACCAAATTTCAGCTAAGACCCTCATGCTGTTAAATTATCTGCTGTGATAGTTTACCTACACACCTGACTGTTCCTGATCTTGCCTTTTTAAGCAATAAGGTGATGATTTTAGCAATTTTAGTGTCCAGGGGCTGGTATATTTTGCATCACCAGAGAACCCTTGTCTCCCTGAGTTTGAACAAACCTTTATATCCTGAACTTCAGATCAAGTGCTGGGGTTCCTACACCTGGATTATATGGCTTCTTAATAATTCTGCTCAAATGCATATGTCTGGTATCTAGAACATATTTCTGGCACACAGAACATTATATTTAAACCTTAGAAAGATGCAGTTGAAAAAATAACCAAACCAAAATAAACGACAAAAACCCACTTTGGGATGCTTGAGCAGTGACTTATATTCTATCTGGATATCCTGCTCACCATCAAATCTGGTAACCCTTCAAATACAAGAGTATGTAATGATGTTTTGTTCAAATGAGAAGTTATTACACCACAATGAAATATAAGTGCATATAGATTTCATGACAACTCAGACTTTGAATATTGGGTTGTAATCCCTGTCATCTCTGGGATTATCCTGAAATACAAATTAGCTCTGATAAATGGCACTCTGGCTTTTAGTCAGACTTTCATTCTTGGCTCTATAAAAGAGTTCTTAAAATTAGTTGATGCTCTTCTTGGGTAGAAAGGTGCTTAGGTAGTAGATGTGATAGCTTTTATTTTGGATGGAATGCATGGAATACTATTTTTCTTAAGAAAAAATATAGCAAAGCACTAGGATCACAGTATACACAAAAGATTGAATTATATGAAAGAAAAAAAGACTTAGGGAAAGGGTTTTTGTGTAGTTTTTTTCAATTTTGGACTTTAGAAGTTGTTAGTAAGACATTAGAGTAATTTTAGGTAAGCTTTTGTAGGAGAATAGCCATGTCATTTTCATACATTTTACTTATTAGGTATTTACTGAGTTCCTTGGGATGCAATGCACTGGGTATTCATAGAGTTTGAGAATTTCTGAGCTTCATTTTCCTTTCCTCTGTAAGGACATGCTTGGAGGAAATGGGCTAGTTGGGCTCATGGAGATAAGAAAACATAGGAGCCAGCAGGTGGCATGGTGGTGGGTGCTGGACTTCCACATGGCCAACAGTGGTTCAAGTCCCAGACCTGGCAGCTTGCTTTCTCACTTTCCCTTTCTCTCTTTCACTCTGTCCTTCTGCGATCAAATTTTTATAAATAAATGGATGAATGAATGAATAAATAGTAAAATAAACAAAAAAATTTTGAGAGGTTTTTGCTGTAGGACCTGTGCGGCTCACCAGAAAGAGAGAGAGACAGAGAGACAGAAAGTGAGAAATCACCACCACCACCCCACCCAGGGGGGATGGCCATGCTGCAGTTCCTTCTCCATTCTCCTCTCAGGATCTTGGGCACACATGCACACGCGCCCAGTGTGAATTTAAGCCACCGGGTCCAGGACTTGAACCGCGGTTGACTACATGGAAGTCCAGCAACATAGCCATTATGGTAACTGCTGGTCCTGTAAAATAAAAAATATTAAAAAAACACATGTAGTAAGATTTAGAAATAATTTTCAAGACTTAGATTCCAACTTATTATTTCCACAAAATATATTCATAACTTTCCAAATTGTCTTTTCTTTGCCTGACCATCTTGACTAGTCAGCTGTTTATAGTGATTCTAAGAAAACAGATTGAATTATTTGCCATGAAAGTGAACACAAACATACTTACATACCTGCAAGAGCAAGAAACTTTAAAAAAAGATGGTTTTGTTTTCTGTAAGTGCCCTGGATTTGCTTTCATCACGAAATGCACAATTGAATGCTACTGAATTGTTACTACTTAGGGTTTAGGATACTTATTTAAAGGCCTTTCTCTCTAGAACAGTTAACTAGGGCTAGTTAACATGGTATCTACACCACAGATATTACAAGGTAGAAGTAAGACCCACAATGGCATCCATCACCCAGTTTGCTGTATCATCTGAGTATGGATGTTTGAGTGCATGTGTACCCATAAATACAAACATTATGTTAAGCACAGAATTTGGTCTATAGATAGTAAGGGGAGATTTATTAGAAGATTTTATATGGGGAAATATGGGAGACAGAAGTGGTGAGGGCTTATGGGAAACTAGGAGTAATTGTGCAATTTGGCCTCACTGTATAGGTGTCAGCCAGATGGGTATTTTGGACATTGGAAAATCAGTGCAACTCCAGTGAGTGGGTCTTGCCCTCTTAGCAGCCACAGTATTGCTTCTCTGCTGCTGTTAGCCATTTTTAGACTCTGTATTTACTTTTTTTTATTTATTTAGGATAATTACCTTACTCTAAATCCTCTCAATATGGCTATAACTGCCTCCATACTTCTGTCTGCCTGCTTTATGTCTTTCAGCTACTTGTTCCTCTCTATAGCTTGAGTTCAGGCCCTTGTAAGACAAAATCTGATTGGTTAGTTAAGATATATTGCCTTTTGGACCAATCTCTCATGCCAACCTTCTTCATAGGTTTCTGGCCAGTCTGTAGATGGGCTGAGCTTGGGACAGGTATTCTTTGCTGGCCCTGCCATTTGTGATCATGGTGCCAAAGTCAATGACATAAAACATGGACCTTAGCACATTAGAAAGAATCTTTTTGTGGGAATCTTTTAAAAGAGGACAGTCCTAGA